ATCAGTATTCATTATATGAGTTAATTGGCATCATTATATTTAATTTATATAATTTTCATGAAAATGAGGATGAGAATTCGTAATTATACAAAGTAAGCTTCAGTTAATGTAACTTTTGAAGAGTGCCTGAATTTATGATTAAATATCCTTTTTCTAAATTCTCTTACATATTTTGTATTCTGATTCTAGCATAATTAAGTTATTACATAAGTATGAGTAATACTACATTCATATTTTATTTAATACTTGCTCAGCTAACGAAAATCTATAGAGGAACATTTGATTAGAAAGACAGATGAAGGGAGAAAAAATTAATTTCCATTCTAAAATCCTTTTTAACTTAAGAAAGTACAAGTCTAATATTATAATTGCTTATTCTTTAATTAAGTATAATGAGATTTCATTATCTCAAGTGGCATTCTTGTAATTTGAAATTCAGAAATTTAACTTGACCCAATATTCCCTTTTCAATCGAAACTATATTAGAACTGGAAGATTAACAAACAAATAAAGAATAACAATTAACCTTAAACTCAATACTATAAAGAGAAGATGTAAAGTGATAATGGATAAGAACTATTAAAAATCTAATTATTACTTAAAATTATGTTCCGTTTAATTTTTTTCACTCCTAAAATAAGAACTCAATTAGATGCAGCCTTTTAGAGACCTTAATAGTTGGAAATAGTAAGAATTCTAGATTTTTCTATTTTAAATTGTATTTTCTTTATTTAAATTACTTCATACTATTTGTATTTATATAAATAATTTGTTAGGACAATTTTCAATTATTAACTATATTCATTTTTTTATTATTACTACTGTATCAGTTGATACTTAGCTATCCTTAAAGATCTTTAAAAACCTTTAATTATATTTCTTTATTCGCATATAATTTTATTTTCTGTAAATGGAATTGGCTAACTCTATTTTCAAAAAAAATCTAATTATCATGGATAATCATTTTTGAAAGGTTCTGCTGGAATAATTGAAGAAATTCTAATTGTGATATAAATTAAAAAAGACTATTTCTCAAGTTTGAATTAAGAATAAAAAAGTGCCCAAATAATTTTTAAATATAATTAATAAAAATTATTTTATAGTTTAAATAATTTTATTTCAAATTCTAAGTCATTTTAACAAAATATATACATTTTCGTAGATTATAAAAAATTTATTAATAATTTAATCAAAGTTAAAATAAAAATTAAATAAATTGTTAAAAATCTTCTATGAATTATTTGTATTAATAGTTGTGATAATATTTATATATTATAATGAATTACATAAATAGAGTATTACAGTAATTTCTAATCCATTATTTTTGCTATTGCTTGTTCTATATTATGGGATGGATATGAGATGAATTATTTTATTTTTTGTCTTATATCTGCGAGAGCTTTACTTTGATTTTAAAGAATTATTTCTTTTTTTATTGACATACTATTTTACGCTATATAATTTTTATAATAATATTGGGGTGCTTGTATCATGTTGGACTACTAAAAAAGTAAATTATACTCCATGAAAATCACATAGAATGTTATTTTATCTTATTACCTTCAGCTATTTTAAATATCGACCATGATTAAAATATTTTTTAAATAATAAAAAATAGTTTATGAAAATTAAGAGTTTAGTGATCAAAGATGAAATAGTTGCCTTTCCTAGTTTAAAGGTTTCATAATTTCCTGGTTATGAATTGTCTTCCAAAAATTAGACATTTTAAAAATCTTTTTTTAACATATTCAGATAAAAGAAAGTTTCGAATGCCTTTTTCTTTTTCAATCTTGATTAAAAAAATTTATACTTATAGTTGATCCATTTGATTCATAAAATATCTCGAATATAATTTTAATTTAAAATCTCAAATAACTATCAAGCGAATAATGATGAATGAGGCACTTGCGAGATTTATAAATGAATATTGATGAACAGTAATTACAATAACAATATTCTCTATCATAATAATTATAAAAGATAATATAAATGTTCAGAGTCTTTATTTTGTGTTTCATATTAATTACTCTTAAAAAAAAACAAGTTCATTTATTCAAATTCTCAACTTATGGTTTAAATAGAAGTATTCTGTTTTATTTAATTAAGTGCTCTTCTGATTAATGAAGTAATTTCTTTTTATTTTTCAAGGTACCTTTTTAATTTCAAAATGTAAGTATTCTAAATCACATTTTCTGCAAAAAAAATTAGAGGAAAGAAATCAATTATTTCCTATATTCTTTATATGCCTAAAACAAAAATAATAATTTTTTTTAAAGGGTTTATTCACAAATTTTTCTTATTTTGCTTTTAAAATTTACTTATGCAAATGTTAATTCTAAATCATTTTTCTCATTCTTTATTTTGGATATCTCAAAAAGTATATGAAAAAAATGATATTAAAGGAACTCCTAAATATTCTTTGAAATATGGATACCCATAATTTTAGAAAATTTTTAGATAATTTTTCCCTAAATAAATGTAACAATAATTCTCTTAAAAATATGAGTGTGTGACTTATCTTAATATATTGCACAGTATAAATTTATATTCCAAACACAGAAACCTCTACTTGCATTAGTTCTGTAAAAATTTTCAACTAATAATAACGACATGTTCTTTTAGTCTTACAACCAGAGAGCTAAAAATACTAATTAGTTTCTCCATTGATAAAGCTTTTGCTTCTTATCACTCAAACTAAAAATACTAGAGTTTTAAAGATTATATTTGACCAAAATTTATGAGGTTTAGGTAGACATGTCTTTAAAATAACAGGAATATTAATTTGTTATCTATTTACTTTTTCTCTTTTGAATGACTCTTCTCTTCTAAGTGTCATAATACTCTTATCTCCTAATTCTATATACTTTAATTATGGAGTTTAAGTAGTAAAATAGATTTAGTGAGTGTAAATATTGAGCATATTAACTTTGAGGTATTCTTGCATTTGAAATATCCAAATGAAATCAAAAAATTACAAATTAGCATAATTTGCTTGATAAACCTAATCATTTATGGTGCAAATTTCTTAAAATGTGTCAAATAACAAGAAAATGATGATTATGTAAAATAATAATAACTTTAGAAATAGAAACAAAAGAAAAGTTGTCTATAAAACAGCAACACATTTATTGAATTTTGAGATTTAATCAAGCAGTCTAAAAAGTTTACCCACATTCCTTTGAGAGATAAAATATAAATAATATGCAGTTTTATGTTTTTTATTATTGTTTGTTGGATAGAGTGTTTAAATATAAAGGATATTTTTGTTATTAATTAAAATATATTAGTTCATCACCTAGGAAGAAAAGGGTTTTTACATATTCATAATAAAAACTATTCTAGAATGGTTAAAAGAAGGGAAATAAAATAAGTATTAATTTTGCAACTTTAATCTGTTTACAGAATTTGCTAACAAATAATTATTCTTTTTTTATTAATGTATTTAAATTTAATTAGTTTTAATTAATTTATAATTAAAATTTATATATTTAGTAATTTTAAAACATACTTTTAAATTTTAAATATTTTTATTGATTGTTGATTAACCTTATGGTTTAGATATTCTAAATGATTAGTTAATTAATTAAATAATAAATTTAATAGTTTAAAATAGATTATTGTTTGATTGTTTTAGTTTTTTTAGTTATGCAAATATTATGAAGTTAGAAACCAATTTAATGAACTTCCTGAGTTTTTTAACATCAACCATTTTTTATTATTTATTTTATTCATAATTCCAATGTTTATAGTATTAGAATTATCTTATTCAGTTGTTAAAGTGTTTAATCAGATGGATTGTTTAAATATCTAATAATTATTATGTCCTTTAAAAACAATAGGATGGATCATTCAATCAAGATTATACTTCATCAATATTTCAATACAGAGAGTAAGAATGTTAAAGATTTTTTATAAAAATTTCACTAATCTAATTATTACATGGACTTATATTTATTGTCAATTTGTTAAAAAATTGATTTCATTTTATTAAATATAGAATTTTTTTCACTAATTTTCTACCACTGCTCTATTTGGCTAATTTGATAAGCCCATTTATTAAAAATAAGAATGATAAATCACTTACCGATAACTACTTATTAACCATGAAGATGATAAAGTTAGAATGAATTGAAAGCTAACAATTTAACGTATTAATTATTAACAAAAATAAAAATATTAATTTATATAAATATATAATTATATGGCGCTATTTGGATAAGAGATTTAATTTAAATGATATTTTATTTAAGATCCAAGCATTATTAAAAAATGGAAATTATCTTTTCTCTATTAATAATTTGACTTAAATTATTGTTAATTATTTTTAAATATTTTAAAATTTCTTAATATACATTTTCTGATATAATTTAAAAACTCAAATACCTTATAGGGCCACTGAATCACATATAAGTTATTATTCTTAAAAAGTAATTAAATTTTTGCTAATTTTTGATGATTTTGCTTATATTATTTCAAATTTACTAATCTTGGCTCAGTCGTGTTTAATCTATATATATATAATTTAATCTTTATCTTAAATTTGATTGAGTCTAAAATTTTAATACAATGAAAGTTATAATTCATAATTTTATCTATTCATGATGCTAGTAACAATAGAATTAAGATGCTCTGTTAGTAATAGTTTCATCAAATGAGAATTTATATTATTGATCAATTACTTGAAATTTCACTTAACATGACATTAAACTTATTATAAACTAAATCAAAAACTATATTTTATTAGCCTTAAAAAGATTTATCATCAAAAAATTTTTGAAAATCAGTTAAAGAATTTAATTCCTAAGCTTCATTAAAGAAAGAATTCTCCTTTTTTAAAACATGCCTACTATTTACATACTCCAATTATACTTAATTTTCTCCAAATAATTCTAATTTTTAGATTTGAATTGCTTAAAGCAACCCATCCTAAAATTCGCTCTTTTACTACTATATAACAGTCTAGAATAATTTTAAGGGTTATAATCTAATATCCAACAAGGATGAGATCAACAAATGCAGCTATTGAGTTTTTATTTTTCTTAGCTAAAGGTTTCATTCTTGGAAGAATGCTCTAAAGACTTAATAAATGTGACTTAAACTTCTTGGAGTACTTTAAAAAGTTCCCTCATTATATTGAAGAGAGAAGAGACTAAAAGAAAATAGAGTTGGCTCCTTTGGGAGAAGTATGTCTGCCAGGGTCTATATCAGAATTTGCATAATAGCAACAAATTTAGAAGGAAAAGAAAGAAAACAATTTTTTTTAAATCTCAGTTTCAAGCTCAAAAAGAGCAAAAATTAATAGATATCTGCCTACTGTGAATTTAAAGCATTGCAGATTCAATATTTTAAGAAAGGATCATCTGCCGAAGAAAATTTGGACAACCAATTTAATATTAATATATTCTGTAAAGAATTAATTGAAAATTCTTCTGTTAATAGAAGGATATAGATACCTTTCTCTTTAAATTATACTCTAATGAAAGGATAGAATAGAGAAAGGAGAGCAGGAAAAGAAGAGATAATGAAATATTCTACAAACAATTAAGGAAATTATCTTAAACTAAAAATTGATTTTTCATGTTTAAGGTGTTCATTGATTAGATTCTATTTAGATCAATTTTCTTAAATTTTTAAACAGAAAATAATTAAAATATAAATTTATAAAATCATTTTCATCAGAACATAAGATATCCAAAAATGATCGTTGATAATCCAAGAATGTATCCTGAATCGGTTGTTGTTTCATTATTTGTATTATTTGTATTATTATTTGTATTATTTGGTTAAACAACAGGTGCAGTGCAAACTCCACATTTGCTTGTTGATGCATTCCAAGTATATGTATATCCAGACACCAAGAAACAATCATTTAATGACAAAGTTGATGGGTCTGTGGCTGTACATGTTCCACTAACAAGTGTACAAACTTATTAAGTCTTTCTATCCCAATTCAAGAATCTTGTACAAGCTCCATTTGTTGCTTAATTAGTAGCACAAGTATGTGTAGCACATTTACTAGCAACAGCAGTTGCACCAGTTCCTGATGCTGCAGTCCATGAACATCTATCTCTGGCTTATTAACAAGCAACTTAATCATTATTAGCAGTGGTACATGCTGTCATTAATGCACATGTTCCAGTACCAGCAACAGCTCCTGTAGCAGTTGATTAAGTGAATACACAAATACCATCTAATCCACCTGAATTACATGCTGTCTTAGTTTTATAAGTTGAGCAATTAGCTTTTGTAATACAAGCTGTTCCATCTGAAACACAAGATGACAAAGCTACTGAACAAACATTGGTGGCTGTACCATTTTAAATATCTGGACAAGTTAATAATCTACATTTAGCAGTGTTATTATTTGTAGCGGATGCAAGTTCCCAATAACATACACCATCAGATCCAACAGCAGTTGTACAAGCAGTTTAAGTTGTGTATGATGAACATGCTCCTTTGACTAAACAAGTTGTTCCATCAGAAGTACATGTTGATAATTATGAAGAACATGCTGCATGGTTTATTCCAGTCAAATCAGCACATGATTAATCTCTGCAACTACTAGCTGTTGTATCCCATGTACAAATACCAGTTGAAGTTATGACTCCAGATGTATAAACAGCTCCCTTATCATTGAAATAACATCCTGCTTATGAAGTATAAGATGAGCAAGCACCTAATGCAATACAACCAGTAGTTCCATTTGTTGTACATTTACTACTAGCAATTTAGCAATCAGAATGAGTTGTATAGAAAGCATCAGCACAAGATGTATATGGTTTACAAACCTTTGGATCTGCAGAATTCAAAGCTGGTACTGATTATATACAAGCTCCATCATATCCTGTGACACATCCACCATCAGTATTAGTTTCAGAACATAAAGTAATACCAACACAATTAGATCCATTAGTTGTACATTATTTACTTAGCCATTTACATTATGTATCAGAATTCCAAGTCAAACTCTTGCATGAAGTGTATCTAAAGCAAGCTCCTGTTGATCCATCAGTATTAATGAAGTCTTTAACCCATAAACATGGTCCATTTGTTCCTTCAATACATGCACTTCTTAATGTAGTTTGTTCGCAATTTTAAACTCGAGCACATTTTCCATTAGCTCCAGCAGTACATCCAGCTCTTTATCCTTAACATGCAGCATGAGTAGTTCCACTAAAATCTTAACAATCTTTGTCTCTACATTTATTTTATGCACTATCCCAAGCACNGTACAAACTTATTAAGTCTTTCTATCCCAATTCAAGAATCTTGTACAAGCTCCATTTGTTGCTTAATTTGTAGCACAAGTATGTGTAGCACATTTACTAGCAACAGCAGTTGCACCAGTTCCTGATGCTGCAGTCCATGAACATCTATCTCTGGCTTATTAACAAGCAACTTAATCATTATTAGCAGTGGTACATGCTGTCATTAATGCACATGTTCCAGTACCAGCAACAGCTCCTGTAGCAGTTGATTAAGTGAATACACAAATACCATCTAATCCACCTGAATTACATGCTGTCTTAGTTTTATAAGTTGAGCAATTAGCTTTTGTAATACAAGCAGTTCCATCTGAAACACATGATGACAAAGCTACTGAACAAACATTGGTGGCTGTACCATTTTGAATATCAGGACAAGTTAATAATCTACATTTAGCAGTGTTATTATTTGTAGCTGATGCTAGTTCCCAATAACATACACCATCAGATCCAACAGCAGTTGTACAAGCAGTTTAAGTAGAGTATGATGAACATGCTCCTTTGACTAAACAAGTTGTTCCATCAGAAGTACATGTTGATAATTATGAAGAACATGCTGGATCAGTTGTGCCAGTCAAATCAGCACATGATTAATCTCTGCAACTACTAGCTGTTGTATCCCATGTACAAATACCAGTTGAAGTGATGACTCCAGATGTATAAATGACACCTTTATCATTAAAATAACATCCTGCTTATGAAGTATAAGATGAACAAGCACCTAATGCAATACAACCAGTAGTTCCATTTGTTGTACATTTACTACTAGCAATTTAACAATCTGAATGAGTTGTATAGAAAGCATCAGCACAAGATGTATATGGTTTACAAACCTTTGGATCGGCAGAATTCAAAGCTGGTACTGATTATATACAAGCTCCATCATATCCTGTAACACATCCACCATCAGTATTAGTTTCAGAACATAAAGTAATACCAACACAATTAGATCCATTAGTTGTACATTATTTACTTATCCATTTACATTAAGTATCAGAATTCCAAGCCAAACTCTTACATGAAGTATATCTAAAGCAAGCTCCTGTTGATCCACCAGTATTAATGAAATCTTTAACCCATAAACATGGTCCATTAGTACCTTCAACACATGCACTTCTTAATGTAGTTTGTTCGCAATTTTAAATTCTAGCGCATTTTCCATTAGCTCCAGCAGTACATCCAGCTCTTTATCCTTAACATGCAGCATGAGTAGTTCCACTAAAATCTTAACAATCTTTGTCTCTACATTTATTTTATGCACTATCCCAAGCACAAATAGTTCCATTAAGAGCGGTTGTACAAGCAGCATCAACAGTAACAGCTGCACAAGTTGATTTAGCAACACATCCACCTCCATTCTTTGTTGTGCAATTAGTGAAATAACCTGCACAAGCTGCTTCNATTTACTAGCAACAGCAGTTGCACCAGTTCCTGATGCTGCAGTCCATGAACATCTATCTCTAGCAGCTTAACAAGCAACTTAATCATTATTTGCAGTAGTACATGCTGTCATTAATTAGCATGTTCCAGTACCAGCAACAGCTCCTGTAGCAGTTGATTAAGTGAATACACAAATACCATCTAATCCACCTGAATTACATGCTACCTTAGTTTTATAGGCTGAGCAATTAGCTTTTGTAATACAAGCTGTTCCATCTGAAACACAAGATGACAAAGCTACTGAACAAACATTGGTGGCTGTACCATTTTAAATATCTGGACAAGTTAATAATCTACATTTAGCAGTGTTATTATTTGTAGCGGATGCAAGTTCCCAATAACATACACCATCAGATCCAACAGCAGTTGTACAAGCAGTTTAAGTTGTGTATGATGAACATGCTCCTTTGACTAAACAAGTTGTTCCATCAGAAGTACATGTTGATAATTATGAAGAACATGCTGCATGGTTTATTCCAGTCAAATCAGCACATGATTAATCTCTGCAACTACTAGCTGTTGTATCCCATGTACAAATACCAGTTGAAGTTATGACTCCAGATGTATAAACAGCTCCCTTATCATTGAAATAACATCCTGCTTATGAAGTATAAGATGAGCAAGCACCTAATGCAATACAACCAGTAGTTCCATTTGTTGTACATTTACTACTAGCAATTTAGCAATCGGAATGAGTTGTATAGAAAGCATCAGCACAAGATGTATATGGTTTACAAACCTTTGGATCTGCAGAATTCAAAGCTGGTACTGATTATATACAAGCTCCATCATATCCTGTAACACATCCACCATCAGTATTAGTTTCAGAACATAAAGTAATACCAACACAATTAGATCCATTAGTTGTACATTATTTACTTATCCATTTACATTAAGTATCAGAATTCCAAGCCAAACTCTTACATGAAGTATATCTAAAGCAAGCTCCTGTTGATCCACCAGTATTAATGAAATCTTTAACCCATAAACATGGTCCATTAGTACCTTCAACACATGCACTTCTTAATGTAGTTTGTTCGCAATTTTAAATTCTAGCGCATTTTCCATTAGCTCCAGCAGTACATCCAGCTCTTTATCCTTAACATGCAGCATGAGTAGTTCCACTAAAATCTTAACAATCTTTGTCTCTACATTTATTTTATGCACTATCCCAAGCACAAATAGTTCCATTAAGAGCGGTTGTACAAGCAGCATCAACAGTAACAGCTGCACAAGTTGATTTAGCAACACATCCACCTCCATTCTTTGTTGTGCAATTAGTGAAATAACCTGCACAAGCTGCTTCGGAAGTTAAAGTAATTGGGGCAGTATTACATGTCTTTACTGTACAAAATGCTTAATTATTGCCAACAGCTGGCATCCATTCACATTATTGATTTGTTGCTGAAGTAACACAACCAGCTTAGCTCATAGCTTAGAAGCAAGTTCCTCTTGTGATACAATTTGTTCCATTTGTTGTGCATGTACTTAATGCTTATCTACATAAGGCATCAGTGGCAAAAGCAAAATCTTCACAAACCTTTGTCTTACATTTTACATCTGTATCTAAAGTGCATCCAGCCAAATAAGTATTACATTCATCAGGAGAGGCTGTTGCTTCTGGAGCATTTTCACAAGTTCTAGTAATACAAGCTGTACCATTCCAATAACATAATCTACCAGATTTATCAGTAACGCATTATTTTTCTACCATAGTTTCACATGTATCTGGTATATCAACACATCCTTATCCTGAATCTGCAACTGTACATTTA